CAGAGATAGTGGCAGCAGAACCTGAAACTGAATTGGAGAACGATTAATTTGTAGAGCTTACAATCTTTAATATGCAAATAATAATTTCATATAATGGTAGGGCCCATCACAAGATACCTAGCACAATATCAATATTTAGTCTTTGGACAGAAATATTGACTTGTAAGTAGTACTCTTGATACAGTGATCAAACATTGACAGTAAAGAAACATGTCGATCAATATATCTTTCTTTGGACCGATTCATTGATCACACCTTAAACTAAATAATCGACACATGTTTATCACCACGGGTGTATGTGCAATTCGGTCAAATATTAGCCTTCCATTGGGCAGATCAAATATTTGCATGAATAACACACACAAATACCTTCTAATATTCTAAGTTAATTAATTTCCACAAGGGATGTTACTTTGGCAACATGTTACTTCAATTAATTTACTTTTGAATGTTATATATCTCAAAAGAGTCATTTGTACCAAAATTTTAAAAAAAATCATCGAATTTGCATATTTGATTTATCTTGAAACTTTAGGCATCAATAATTAATTATTCAAAACTTTAGGAGTCAAAAAATTAATTAGTTGAAACTTCAGGAGTCAAAAAATAATTATTCAAAACTTTATGAGTTAATTTAAACCAATTATGAACTTTTAGGGTCTTAATTACAAAATTCAGAACTTTAAAGGCCCAAATTAATTAATTTTCAAATTTTAGGGACTTGATTATTAAATCCGTAACTTTAAAAGGCTCAATATGATGAGTTATAACCTTAGGGAATGAATTACCAAAGTTTTAAACTTAAGGAGATGAAATATTAAAAACTTAACTCTAATATGAAATTGCAAACAAGGACCTAAAATCATCTAATTTTTAGCCCAAGCCCCTGCCTCCAAAATTCACCCAAACCCTAATCTTTAGAAAAAAAAAATTTGTTTTGTTTTGTTCGTAGAAATTGGCGCCAACCCCAAAACCTAAAGCGCCGCTATAGAAAATTACAGCAGCTCGGCTGCTGATAGCAGTAGCGCCGACTGTTAGGGATGTAAAAACGGGCGGGTCGGGCCGGGCCGACCCGCAGACGAAGAAACTCGGGTACAGCCCGGGTATTAATAGACCCGACCAGTGTGGGCTTTTCGGGCCGGGGCCGCCC